GATGTTTTATTTCCTCTTGTTTGATTCTTTATGCTGCCCATTTAAACCCCCCCCCCCCACCACCACCATCACCACCACCACAACACACAATGCAGCTTCAACCATAAAACAAACATGCAGGTCCACTCTTCGACCTTCAAAATGCAACCTTCTTAAAAATTCATTAAAGTAAGACTAGTCACCGAGTTCTCAGAGCAGATGTTGAGTGCAGATAAGTTCGAGTGGTATAGTGCAGTGAAGAATAAAAACCACTGAGCAGAGCAGCGCCTTACTTTCCCCCCATGTAGCAATAATGTGACAATGCCATATTTCCTGGTTCATTGAGCATCCACACACCTCGAGGCTGACGCAGCTTTATTTAGATCATTGTGATGGTGTCTGATGAAGTCGACACTTGTAAAAACTATACGTTGTGATGAATTACATTTGCAGGTTGGTTTTTTTTTTGAATCCTTGCTTTATTGCATTCGGACAGTAAAGCAAAATCTCATAATCTGAGATAAATGTAAAATGAACACTAAAAGTAAAGAAGGGACATTTGTCCTGGGTCGTTTATGTCGCAGCAACATGTTAATAGATCAGGGATGTTTAATCAAGATCATGGATGCTCTTAAAGGGCCGGTTGTGCCAGAATATATTAATAAAACCTGTTAACAAACTCTTCAGTTAATTCTCAAAATTAAATAATATTGAACATCTTTTCAGACCATCCTGGACTTTGTGATACTTTCTGTGATTTTTTTTTTTTTTTTTACAATAAAAATTACATGTCTGTGGTACTAATTTGGAAATATGTATGATTTTTGTATTTATTTATGGGGGTAAATGAGACTTTTTTACTTGCTGTATAGATCATGGACTATAATCTGACATCAGTTAAGGCTAAGGCTGCTGTTTAATACAAGGAAGAGCGTTTTTGACAATTTTTGAGAAAAATTTATAATAAAACTCCATTTATATATTAGTGTAAAAAAGTGGATTTGTTGATTTTGCGTGAATTTCCATGATAATTCTCAAGAAACTGGAAGGGCTGATTGATATAATTTGCCAGTAAAAAGATAAAAACTGAATTGATTTGATTGATAACATAATATTTAAGCACACTTAGTGCTTAATCTGGAATCTAGAGGGCCACATGAAAAGCTATAGTGGGCCAGTTTTGGCCCATGGACCTTGAGTTTGACACGTGTATAATAGATGTTTAACCAGTTTATTTCTACTTAGACATCTGTAAGGTGAATACAGATTTGAGCATGTGGAGGAAGGAAAAGCCAGTTCTCACGATCAACACCAAGCACTTTATTGTCATATCCCTTTTAGCTCTGGACTTCTGCCTTAGTTGTTTATTTTCTTAATTTCACTATTTCCTCCAGTATGATTTATTCCTTCTGCTAGTTTAGTTTCTGTTTTTAAGTGTTGGATGTTTCCTCTGCTGTTACCTCCCTTCTAGTCTCATCTTTGTTTTTGCCTTAAGCCACTTTGCCACTAACTCCTCTTCCCCAGCTGCCAGTCATTCACCGCATCCAGCCTCACTCGCTTTGTTCCCAGCTGCAGTCAGTTTTCCTGCTTAGTTCCTTCACTCCTTCCTCTTTGTATCTACCTCACAGACTCATTGCTCACCGCTCGTTCAGTCTGTTTCTCCCCGTCTCATGTTCTAGAGGACCAGGGTTGTGAACCGCTGCTCTATCCTTGTTTGACTCTTGTCTCCACATGTGTGAGGTAATGGTTTCATGTTTGCTCCTCAGAAATGAAATTATAATGTTCACGCCCCTCTGAAATAAATAGTCAGATGAATACATGTTGATGTCCTGAAATAAACCCTAAAGTGTCTCTAGTCAACTTTCGTCATAATGTTCTGTTCCTGTGAATGCTCTAGATTTCACTTTTGCTGCTGTGACGGTTCGAAGTAACACAGATTTAACACACAAAATAATTCCTGGCAATGACTCTGTATTACACCCTTACCTCAGAAAACGCCTAAAACAAAAGTGGCAGAAACGTTCTGATCTTAACTCTCTTCGAGGAGAACGCCGTCACGCCGACTCTGACGGTTTGAACCCAAATCAAACTTGATAGTTCTGTTTCTTCCAGCTTGCTGCAGATTATTTGCACGAGCATTTCATGAAGTGGAAATCATCCCGAAGATTTTGGGTCTCAAAGCCAGAGCAGAAATAACCCCACAGACATCAAGGGGACGTTTGCAGACTGTGGAGAACTCCCTCCAGGACTCTCAGCAAACTGCTCTCGCAACTGTTTGTTTGCATCCCATACAGGAATGTGTAAATTCAATGCGATGTGTAAAATTGCAACTCGTACGCCTCCTTTACAATCCTACAACCCTCTGAGAATAAATGGAGAGAAGCTGCGTCAGCCTCACCTTGCTGCTACTTCATCTTCAAATAGCTATTTTTGCCTGCAGCAATGCCTGCTTTGGCCTGATGGCGTAATTCCTCAGTGCTCTGGAGGCCGAACTGTGGCGTAGACAAAGCTGCTAACGTACTTCTAATGTCACGAGCGCCTCCGAGGTTTCTATTTTCCTCTGTTGATCCAGTTTGAAAGTGTGCCAGTTGAAAGCTCTTACATTCTGGCTTGAATCCCGAGGCCTCAGTAAACACTGCTGCCTCAAGGCGGTGCGCGTTGCCTAAATGGTTTCTCAGAGAACCTCCTGGAACAACAAGGTGAGTGTGCAGAAGTTGAAGTGAGCTGTCATGACGCTGCACAAAAAGAGACCGATGGATTTCTGTGCGGAAATTAACTGTGGATTTCCAACAGGTACAGCATCTGTCCGCATCGCTTGATAGCACCGCCTGTGGTTCGTCCCCGGTAATGATTTCGTTTGTGATTGCAGTGATTTTCTTTGGTCAGTGGCACAAAAAAAAAAAAAAAAAAAAAAAAACGCTTCCCAGAGCGGCATTAAAGTTTTTTGGTAACCCTGAATTGGG